CCCCAAAACCCCAAAACCCCAAAACCCCAAAACCCCAAAACCCCAAAACCCGGTTTGGGTCCTATTATTAAAATTATTTATAAAATGGAAGCCAAAACAATAAAAATGGCTTTGAGGTCTTGACTGGTGTTGCTTATATTTCTGTCTTCAGAGGCCAAATGTAGGCTACAGACCAAGAGGAGGCTAGGAGTGCAGGAATGGTTTGCCAACCCCTTAAACACAATCATATTTATCCTACTGGCTTTTACATTGATAATGATTACCTTCGTCGTCCTTCTGGTTTATAAGATGAATCCTAGCTGACGTAACTGGTTTAAAGGCTTATTCAGGAAGAAAAAGATAGAGGTCCCTAAAGAGATCTTTGAACGGGATTGGGAACGATATAAAGAAAGAAAATAAGAACGAGAAAAAGACTAAAATCACTAAAAATGATATTGAGAAAGGTCGGAGTCAGAAGTATGCCCAAATTGATGGTGAGAATCAGCAAGATGGTAAAAATAGTCAGAATTCTGAAGAAAGTAAAAGTTTACCTAAAAGAGGGATTCTTAAGAATCCCTCTAAGATCGGGCTTGATAATATCAGAAAAAGAGGGTACGAGTTTGCTGGACAAAAGCGATCAGGTATGTAATTCTATCAATTCGTCTCTTAATCCGAAATAGGTGGTAGAAAAGATGGTGAGACAGATCGGGAGATCAAAGATTATGAAGAAGAAAATATAGATTTTAGAGATCTGGCTATTAAGAAATACCTTGAAAAATACCATATGGATAAAGTACCTAGGCCAGATATTGACCAAGGGAAGTATGGTAAGAGATCAGAGCTGGACTACATCAAAGACATTGCATATTTCAATCAGGAGCTACACATGCTAGGAGGAGACGACATTCGTCAGAAATCAAAATCTCGACTTAGGAAGAAAATTCTTGAGGAAAAAGAATTCGAACTTAAAATGAATGGACCAATGGAGTCCTCTGAAGAGCTTTATATTGAGAAATCTCAAGATAGCTTTGAGCAAAGGAGGCATGCTATCAGAGAATTAATGTGAAAACGAAAAGAGAATCATGTCCAGCCAGACTTTCTTCGTGAAAGTGATGAAGAAGAAGTTTATAATGAGAAAAATCCTGGATATAATGATAAAGAATTCCAGAAAACAATGATGAAGAAGGGGTATATTTATCTTCCTTCTAAAGAAAGAATTAAATTTAAAGAAAAACAGAAAGAAAAGAAATATCAAGAATCTACTATCAATTCGACTCAAAAGTCTGGTGTTAAAGAAGTGGAGCAGAAAGATTCTCAAACTGTATCCTTACAAAGCAATAAAATACCTGATAAAGGAACTGATATTGATCCCATTAAGGAGACACGAAAGAAAGCGTCAATGCCTTTCTGGAAATATAAGAAAGAAGTCCTTGAACGGAAAAAGACAGATAAGAAGTTGAAAAAGATGAAGAAAAAGGAGCAAACCAAGGTAAAGAACAGGTCTGAAAGAACTATTCCTGGTAAGATTGAAGAAATATGTTTAGGAAAGAACAGTCACCAGTTTTCAAAAAAGAAAGATGTAGAGAGAATAGAAATAGGGCAAAGTAGCAAAATTAATAAAAGGAATGACTCTCAGAAAATAAATGTTGGAGTTCATAACAATGAAACAATAAATACTGATCAGGTATTTTCTCACCATAATCTTCAGATGCTTTCTATGTCACAAAAGAAGAAACCAAATAAGGATTCAGTAGATTCAATATCAATCAATCAACTTTTGAAAGATTCAAAACCCGATCCATCAAAAGTCCCTGCTCATCGATTTTCCCAATCAAATTCGAAAGAAAGGAAGAAAATTCAGATATTAGCTAAAAGCAAAGCTAAAAAGGCTGATATTCAGAACATCAATATTCCCTCTACAAAAAGAATCCCTAATACAGAAAAGATGCCTGCTAATAGTAACCCCCTTATAACTAATCTAGCCATAGAAGAAACTCGTTTACAAGTTCCAAACATAAAAGTAGCCCGGCTTTCTGACTGCTCTCCCAAAGCCAACAGCCCAAACCCAAAAGACTTCAATTCTCACTCAAACTACGTCCCCAAACCCCGCAAGCACGATCTCTCTAACTCCTCTGGGGATTCTTCTTACTAACAAAATCTGTTTTTGTACCTAAAATTTCGCTAAATTTCAACCTAGAAGTCTCTGAAAGGGGTTTTGGGGTTTTGGGGTTTTGGGGTTTTGGGG